GAAGTACGGACAATCGATAAAGGACAAGAGGGAAGATGTATGTAGCACACACCTCCGCCCTGCCCTTCACGGACAACCTCCGTCGAGCCCAAATCTTACCGGCGGCTACGACCTTTGCTCGTACTTCAGACCAATTCTTCTCCAGCTGGAGGTCGGGTCCAAACCACACTCCGAGAATGCGGACAGGACCGTCCGTCCAACCGAAGGGCCCCGGAAGATCGACCCCTTCAGGGCGCCTAGCCGCAAGCCGGACGACTTGTCGCGGTTAATCTTGGCCCCTGTCACCTTTTCGTACCGATCAAGCGCCTTCTGCACTGCTCTGATGCCTCTGCGGGACGACACGAAAGCAGTTACGTCATCGGCGTACGCGGAAACCCGGGCTCGAGCCCCGCCGGGAACGACGATTCCGCGTAGGGCCGGCCTGCACGCCCCGTCCCTCAGCCGGCGAAGGAGAGGCTCCAACGCCAAAGCGTAAAGTAGGGGCGACAGCGGGCAACCCTGACGGACCGACCTAGACAGCGCGAAAGCGCCCGACAGCTTCCCGTTCACCTGTACCACAGCGCTGGGGGAGCGATACAGGAGGCTAATCCAGCGGCAGAAGTCGGGTTCGAATCCGGCGGCCTGCAGGACAGCAGCGAGGTAGCGATGGTCGACCCTATCAAATGCCTTGGACTGATCCAAATTGATCAGCGCGGCTTTCTCGTCGTCTTTACGCCCTCTATGATCGTGCGGATCAAGTGCAGGTTGCTCTGAATTGTTCGACCCCTCACAGCACAGGTCTGCTCGGGACCCAACAGAGACTCGGCAACTGACTGCAAGCGCTCCTGCAGGATCTTGGCCATAATCTTTAACTCTGTGTTCAGCAGAGTTATGGGCCTGTAGTCGTCTAGTTTCCCCCGACACCCTTGCCCTTTTTCAACAGCGTGATCACGCCCCTGGAGAACCGGTCGGGGAGGGACCCCTGCCGGAACCAGTTGTTGAACACGACCGTCAAAATCGGGACAAAGATGTGCGACAGCCTCAAGTACACTTCATAGGGCAGACCATCCAGACCGGGCGACTTGCCTCTGCCGACCTTCTTCAAAGCCGCGTAGACCTCGCCCTCGGTAATCTCTCCCTCGCAGCTAGCCGCTTCAGTCGGCGAAAGCCGAGGAAAGTCGGCCAAATAGCTGCGAAACTCGTCCTCACGAAGACCAGGCTCCCTGGTAAAGCGGCTCTCGAAATGCCGCCGAAACGCCTCGCACACGTCGTCGGTGGCCCGAAGGGTGCGCCCCTCCGGGCTTACGACTTCACGAATGTAACGATCGCCACCTCGACGGACCTCTTCCCTGCGCAGGTCTGCGCCCATGCTCACGGCTTCGGAAGACATCTTGCTTAACCTATGCCTAATTACCTGGCCCATGTAGCGCTCGCTATTCATGCGCTCCAGGGCCTCCTTAGCTACGGCTATCTCTAGGGGATCCCCCAGCCACCGCCCGGGCGTGACTAGCCTTAAGCGTCCTCACCTTATCAGCTCTATCTAGGGCGAGCCGCTTGCTGAAATCAGTGGTGAAGGACCCTAATTCTACATTTAAGTCTGTCCCACCACCTATTCCCGATAACCGCCCCACTAGTTCCCGCTGCACTACGCTAGTCAGCTGCTCCCGGAAGTCCTGCCTGTCCAGTAAGGACAGATTGAACTTCCAGTAGCCAGCCATTCTAGGCCTATGTTCTAACGCCACACGGGCACAAACGAGTTTGTGGTCCGTGTAGCCTACCCAGTGGAACGTGGGACAATCTAACAGATCTATGTCGGCCCTTCTCACTAACATTCTGTCAAGGTAGCTAACCACCTTGTCACAAGGCCAGCTATTCGCCCACGTCCACATTTTCCCCCGGGGTGATCGACCCGGTATCTATCGACGAGACCGAAATCCGCGATCAGATCGACCAGGCTGCGATCGCCACTTCTCCCGCTAGCACCCCCCCCCCGATCTATGTTGGGGTCCAGGACGGCATTCCAGTCCCCACTAGAACTAATCGCTTGAATCCACCAGGAAAGGCTCCAACCGCCGAAAAACGAAACCCGCTCCTCGTGGTCGTTGGGCGCATAAACCGCAACGACCCGAAACGAACCACTTTTCATGGCAATATCGGCCACGATCAACCGTCCCTCGGCATCGGTATGCACAAGGTCCACCTTCGCATCTAGAGTCCGCTTCACGAGCAAAGACACTCCTCCGGCAAGCCGCTCCCCGTATGCTGAATAGACGACAAAGTCGCCAGACAGCACACACGCATCGGCACTGCAAACAAAGTGGGTCTCTTCGATCGCGGCAACATCCACGCCGAACGACAGGAGATCCCGGAGCAGGCGGGCCGCCTTACCCCGATCCCTCAAGCCGTTCACATTCAGCGTCGCTATCTTGACAGACATGGTTTAGATCTGCAAAAAAAAAAAAAAAGAAAAAACATGCAAAAAGCCTACTCACATACCGGGCGGAAATCTGCGCTGGTAAGGACCCCGACGGCCTGTCCCAGGTTTCCGGTTCCCTAATTCGGTCGTCATACGACCGTCCAGGACAATGCCGCCGACGTCCGTGGGGTAGGTTAGTTTTACTGCCCTATATAACGAGGGATGGAGCAAAACGGGGACCCTCCCAGTGCAAAAGTTTTTTAATTTTTCCAGTGTGGAATTGTCCGTCTCTACCATCCGGATTTCGGGGAAGGCTTCTTTAGCCTCAGAAGATGTGATTCCATACCTTTGAGATATGCCCCTTCTCCCTCACGCAGGTTATTACGCCGGGGGCCTGTGGGAAGTTTCGGGGTCCTCTATACTTTTGCCATCTACGGAGTTCATTTTGTATAGACCCCGAGTATGGCTTTCCTTTGATTCGTCAGGCCCCATTTAAAATCGTTCCGGTCGATTTTGCAAATCGATTCGGGGCCTGCGAACATCTTCTTCTTCTTCTTTTTCTCCCTGGAAGGGTGGGGAGGGGAAGAGGTTGATGTGTGGGGTGGGGTGGCCGATGCGTCCAGGAAGGAGGAGGTGGAGGGGAGGGGGTGGAGCACGGGACGGGGAGGAAGGGTGGCTCCTAGGTTTGGTCGGAGCCTCCGATTTTCTTGGTGAAGCAGGGACGGAGAGCGACCTGGATCTCTCCATGCCTTCCTCCGCCCTACCACTACTGCTAGACATGTCTTTGTTGGGTTTTGGTTCTTCCTCTTCGTCTTCGTCTTCCTCCCTGCACCTTTTCAGGGATGAAGAACGAGGTGGAGTATTTTGTCCACCTCCATCTGCTCATTTCTTGTTGTTGCTGCTGCTGCTGTTTGTTTGTTTTGATGTTCTTGTTTTGCTGATTTTTTTGCTGTTTTTTGTTTTTCTGTTTTTGCTGATGCTGCTGTTGTTGTTGTTGTTGTTTGGGCTGCTGTCGCTGGTCTCCCTTTGTAGTCTGCAGCCCTTCCTTCTGAGTTGGTATTGCCTTTTCAGGCTGAGGTATCTCTGTTTGTGGGGGTGGAGACAAAACTTTTAGGAGACTTCCTGCCTCTCACCACCTCTTTCCCTCTCCGTCCGATTTCGAACTCCCCTCCTCCGGTTGACTTGCTGCAACTGGTTTTTTTAGTTGTTGATGCTGTCGGTTGTGGTGCAGCTTGTGTGCCCCCTCTTGCTGGGGCATTCCTTGGCCATGTGGCCCGACACACCACACGACCAACACCAAGGCTTTCTGCCTTCCACCACCACCAGCATCCTTCTGTCTCGGCAGGTGAGCGTGTTGGGGACGTCCTTGAAGGCCGATCTGTTCAAGGTTATCTGCACTTCAATGTCCCCCGTCTCTATCCCGGACCTACTTCTCAGGGCCTTCACTTCGTTCACCTCTCCATATTTGGTGAAGAAGGCCCCCATCCGGTCTTCAGAAATGTCCACGGGCACCCCATGGACGGTAACTCTTGTTCTGCGGGTGCCCATGTATTCAGTTTGAAGCCTCAGGTTTTTTTGACGTTAGCGTCTTCCCGGCCAAGTCCTTTGGCTTCCTGCTCCGTTGCGAGAAGGATGTCCCATAAGGCGTTAGTCCTTCTCGCCAGCACTTTAGGATGAATGAGTAAAGACTTTAACGTCTCTTCCATATTCTCCCTGCTGACTCCAATTAACTTTCTCGTTTTCACGTCCGAAGTCAGCAGGGAAATTGTTCGTGTTTCCACAGCGTTGAGCGCCTCTTTAATTGTGAGGAATTCGTTTCCTTTAAACGTCTCCTCAAATATTGTTCTTTGCGAGGCATAAAATTTGCCGTCTTTCTGAAGCGGCCTGTTTTCTGACCAGGCCGATTTGACAGGCGACACCGTTTCAGAAACCGGTGTCGCCGGAATGTCTATGTTGTTGTCGACCATGGTGGAAATTCCACCACAGTCTAACGGCTTAAAAACTTGTTAAATGTTTTTTGTGTTTGGCATATACAGGACAATATATTATTATTTAAGAAGAAAATAAAATAAAATAAAAGAACAAAACGAAGGGGGCAAAACAAAGACAATAATAGTTTCAACAACAAAGGAAAAACGTCAAATTAAAACCGGGACAGTAAAACACGAGAAGGAAAAAAACTTGAGTCAACAAAAGAGAATAAGAAAAAAAGAGACAAACAAAAAATTTTTTTGAAAAAATAAAAGTAACAAAAGGAAAAACTTATCTGTTTACGTTGTAAAATAAAAAAAAATTCTGGCGAAAACAAATTCAAAAGATTAAGGGTTAAAGTTTTTTCAAAGGCAGTTTTTTTTTTTTTTTTTTTTCCAAAACAAAGGAAAAACTTCAAATTAAAACAATGTCCAAAGAATAAAAAGAATTGTAAGTAATCCAGGTAAGGTAATCCAAGGTAAAAATAGTCCAATGGGTCCAGTGATATAAAAGCTGATAAGAACAGATACTACACTTTGATCTTAGCCAAAAGGCCGAGAAGCGATAACCTTTTCGTTGAAATGAGGCTGCGCGAGTGGAGGCAGGCACCGGGCTCAACCGACGGGGCCAAGGAATGGCCGAAACACGGGCACCCAACTCGTTCGCCAAATCCCTGACAGCAGTCTGCCTCTCAAAGAGGCCTCAGTGCTCACCGGGACAGCGACAAGAGGGCAATTGCCCGCCAACGCTCCGGACCCCCAAAGGAAGCAGCAGCGCAGGCTGGGCGAGTAATGCCACGGAGGGTGGGGGAGCACAGAGATTAAATGCTCCTCCTTAGCTGTGGCGAGATGAGAGATCGCCCGTCATCCCGAATGCTGGGGAATCATTTCAGCTGTTTGATCACTACCGTGGCAATCACCAAGACAACGTACATCGCCCACCCATAAAAACCAAAAAAAAAAAAAAAAAAAAAAAAAAAAAAAAAGAGTACATCCAGGTGCAGCCGCAAAAAGCAGCGACCACCGCTCATCCCTGCCAAACGTCAGCCCCGTTTACTCAACAATGGACAGAGAACACTGTTAGTGAGCGGGATAAAAAGCAAGAACGTTTTTTCTCCGTTTTGGGGCCTAGGAATACCAGGGTGATGACAAGCAACAGCTGCAAGAAAAAAAAAAAAAAAAAAAAAGAGTCCAGACAGGCGCCGCTGCAAAAGGAGCGATTTTTTTTTTTTTTTCAGCGCACAACAACGGACCGACAACACCGTCAGTGCGTGGGATAAGAAGCACATTTTTTCTCCGTTTACAAAAAAAGGAACACAAAAGGGTGACGGCGATGACGAGCACCAGCTGCAAAAAAAAAAAAAAAAAAAAAGTCATCAAGCACGACCCGAAGGAAATAATTTTATTTTCCGCATAACCGAAGGTCTATTTTGGATTCGTTTATATTTGTCTCCCCTAAGGGGTTCCTGGAGGCACTGCAATACCAGGCCAACCCGCGGCAAAGGCGGAGCAAGCCCCTGTCAAAAATCAGTTTAATATCGAAGTCCCACTTCGGGGACGTATCAGATAAAGCTGATAAGAACAGATATTACTTTGATCTTAGCCAAAAGGCCGAGAAGCCACCTTTTTTTTTCGTTGAAATGAGGCTGCGCGAGTGGAGGCAGGCACCGGGCTCAACCGACGGGGCCAAGGAATGGCCGAAACACGGGCACCCAACTCGTTCGCCAAATCCCTGACAGCAGTCTGCCTCTCAAAGAGGCCTCAGTGCTCACCGGGACAGCGACAAGAGGCAATTGCCCGCCAACGCTCCGGACCCCCCCAAAGGAAGCAGCGCAGGCTGGGCGAGTAATGCCCACGGAGGGGGGGAGCACAGAGATTAAATGCTCCTCCTTAGCTGTGGCGAGATGAGAGATCGCCCGTCATCCCGAAAGGGAATCATTTCAGCTGTTTGATCACTACCGTGGCAATCACCAAGACAACGTACATCGCCCACCCATGAAGGAAGAGAAGAAGAAGAAGAAAAAAAAAAAAAAAAAAAAAAAAAAGAGTACATCCAGGTGCAGCCGCAAAAAGCAGCGACCACCGCTCATCCCTGGCCAAACGTCAGGTTTACTCAACAATGGACAGAGAACACTGTTAGTGAGCGGGATAAGAAGCAAGAACGTTTTTTCTCCGTTTTGGGGCCTAGGAATACCAGGGTGATGACAAGCAACAGCTGCAAGAAAAAAAAAAAAAAAAAAAAAAAAAAAGAGTCCAGACAGGCGCCGCTGCAAAAGGAGCGATTGCTCCTCCCTGCCGAACGTCAGCGCACAACAACGGACCGACAACACCGTCCGTGGGATAAGAACAAGCACATTTTTTCTCCGTTTTGGGGCCCAGGAAACAAAGGGTGACGGCGATGACAAGCACCAGCTGCAAAAAAAAAAAAAAAAAGTCAGCAAGCACGACCCGAAGGAAATAATTTTATTTTCCGCATAACCGAAGGTCTATTTTTGATTCGTTTATTTGTCTCAAAATGGGGAGGGGGAAGCAACTGGCAAAGGAAAAAAAAAAAAAAAAAAAAAAAGGATTCCTGGAGGCAAAATTTGACTCTTCGCCATGTTCAAAAATCAGTTTAATATCGAAGTCCCACTTCGGGGACGTATCAAATATTAAGCTGATAAGAATTTTACTACACTTTGATCTTAAAAAAGGCCGAGAAGCGATTTTTTTCGTTGATTTGAGGCTGCGCGAGTGGAGGCAGGCACCGGGCTCAACCGACGGGGCCAAGGAATGGCCAAACAAACCATTCGTTCTCCAAATCCCTGACAGCAACCCTGCCTCTTTCAGTGCTCAAAAAAAAGCGACAAGAGGGCAATTGCCCCGAACCATTTTTATTTTCCTCATAAGAAAGGAAGCAGCCAGCTGTTTGATCACTACCGTGGCAATCAAAGACAGGTACATCGCCCAACCGACCATGAAGGCGGGAGAAAAGAAGAAAAAAAAAAAAAAAAAAAAAAAAAGAGGCATCCAGGTGCAGGGCCGGGCAAAAAAAGCCCCGTTTACCAATGGACAGAGTCCGTTTTGGGGCCTAGGAAACCCAGCTGCAAGAAAAAAAAAAAAAAAAAAAAAAAAAAAGATGACAGGCGCCGCTGCAAAAGGAGCGATCATCCCGAATGGGGGAATCATTTCAACAACGGTTTGACAACACCGTCAATGCGTGGGATAAGAAACAAGCACATCATCGCCGTTTTGGGGCCCCTGAAGGTGACGGCGAAGAAGAAAAAAAAAAAAAAAAAAAAAAAAAAAAAAGAGTAATTTTTATAACCGAAGGTCTATTTTTTTCGTTTATATTTGTCAAAATGAGGGACCACCGTCTGCAGGCCTGCAAACAGGCCAACCCGCGGCAACAAAAAAAAAAAAAAAGGTCAGCCCTGACTTTCGCCTCAACAATCGGGGACAGAAAGAAAAAACAATAAAATCTTAAAAAAAATAACTGAGGCTCGCAAGGCGGAAACGGGGCAAGAATCCGCCCGTTTCGTTCGCCAAATCCGTTTTGGGGCCTCAGTGCTCACCGGGAAGCGACAAAAGAAAAAAAAAAAAAAAAAAAAAAAAAAAAAAAGGCATCCAGGTTCTGCCGCAAAAGACAGCGACCACCGCTCATCCCTGCCAAACGTCAGGCACAACAATGGACAGAGAAAAAAAAAGTGCGGGGAAAAAAAACGTTTTTTTCTCCGTTTTGGGGCCAGGAATACCAGGGTGATGACAAGCAACAGCTGAAAAAAAAAAAAAAAATGTTTATTTTCCGTGGAACCAGCGCACAACAACGGACCGACAACACCGTCAGTGCGTGGGAAAAAAAAAGCACATTTTTTTCTCCGTTTTGGGGCCCAGGAAATAAAGGGTGACGGCGATGACGAGCACCAGCTGCAAAAAAAAAAAAAAAAAAAGTCAACAAGGACCCGAAGGAAATAATTTTATTTTCCGCATAACCGAAGGTCTATTTTTGATTTGTTTTTATTTGTCTCCCCTAGTAGGGAGACTGGGCTGACTCCTGGAGGCACTGCAATACCAGGCCAACCCGCGGCAAAGGCGGAGCAAGCCCCTGACTCTTCGCCATGTTCCAAAAATCAGTTTAATATCGAAGTCCCACTTCGGGGACGTATCAGATATTAAGCTGATAAGAACAGATACTACACTTTGATCTTAGCCAAAAGGCCGAGAAGCGATAGATATTTATTTCGTATAAAATACAAAATTGTGGCACAAGGCCGAAAAGGGGGAGGGGGTAAAAGGCTGGTCTTCACTAACTATCTTATACCTAGCTAATTTCAGTCGCGACCCGTTCATACATTACAATTTACTCATTCACCATAAGAACTCGTCCGTCACCAATCGATCCTCCATGCACCATAATACCGCATCCACTCTAGGGAGACCTACAAAAAACGCGCCCCGTGTCTTCATAATTTAATGACCCTAACAAATATGTACAGAAAAATTCTAAGATGAAAAATGAAAGGGGTGGGGTGAGATGAACCCAATAACGAACTGAAATATTAACATAATTAAAATTAAAATTTTAACTGATGTTAGTAGGGCCCGTCCAACCCTCAAAATATAGGGGGAGGCCACTGTATTCTGCCCATGAGACAAAATCAAGCAGCTCTCTCTCGCTAAGGGAGTGGGGAAAGGTGATAAAAAAAAAAAATCATAAGGGCATGGGAAAATGTAAAGGCTGACCCAGTCGAGATAGAAAATTGGGGCCAAAAAAAACAAACTGGGGAGATTGGGAATCTCAGGCTGGATCATAACTAAAAAGATGTGGTCCGGGAGCAACACTTACTCGCATTAACTAGGTACACCAAAGCTTGTCTAACCTAACCAAGGGGAGGGCACCACAGGAAGCCACCCCGATGCAGCGTAGGCTTGACCTAAAACAGAAAATCAAGGCTAGCCCCGTTCACACGAACCAAGCTCGCCTCAGTCACCCACCTTTCGCTGAAGACTGTCGAATGCAAGCGTTTTCTATCAGTTCTGATCTTCATCTTGAGCTGATGCTCAAAGAATCGATTCAGATCCTGATGAGAAAGACGCGTACCTCGCAAGACTTCCTCCTGTCGCGTCGTCCATATCACCATTCGGGCCGTGGCTAGCAGCGTGAGAAACACCATCCGTTTCACCCCGGAATACGGGGGCGACACATTGTCACACGCGTATGCGCGATCCATGGGCACGAGCTTTTCGGGAGCGAGACGAGCCGTCAGCTCGCCGACATGGTCCCATAGGGGGCGGACCCGGGGGCAATGGAAGAAGGCGTGCGAACCCGTTTCCTTCAGACCAAGGCCACACCGATCGCAGTCTGGCAAATCCGCCAAGCCCCATATGAAGGCCAGGTCGTTGAGAGGCAGCCGATTCCGAGCCAGTCGCCAGGTAAGCGAAAACTCAGGGTTACTGAGGTAATCCGCCGCTGGCGCCCAAGACCAGTGAGAGCGAAGCTCGCCCTCCGACATGTCGAGTTCCTTGCGTAGGGGATCCTTCGCGACCCTCTCCACTAGCGAACGATAGAAGACCTTCCTAGGCCGAGAAAGGTCGCTGGACCGAGGGACGGTCACCAGGGCCAACCGACACTCGCGAACGAAATCCGATTCCTCCCGGGGCCTACGATGGCGCTCGGCCCGCGAGATGGGGGGACTGATAGTGAGGCTAGGGAAGGCGGCCCTAACAATCCCCGTCATGACCGAATCACTTGTCAACGCGCGGCGCAGGAAAGCCAACCTCGAGGCATGTTTATGACTCAGCAGGTGTGGCATTCCCAGCCCCCCATGACACGGACGTTGTGCACAGACTTCTCTGTCGACCCGGGTCCCGCGTACCCTCCACAGAATGGAGGTCAGCGAGCTCTCCAGCGGTTTCCTGCGGTCGTCACAGAGAGGAAGTACGGACAATCGATAAAGGACAAGAGGGAAGATGTATGTAGCACACACCTCCGCCCTGCCCTTCACGGACAACCTCCGTCGAGCCCAAATCTTACCGGCGGCTACGACCTTTGCTCGTACTTCAGACCAATTCTTCTCCAGCTGGAGGTCGGGTCCAAACCACACTCCGAGAATGCGGACAGGACCGTCCGTCCAACCGAAGGGCCCCGGAAGATCGACCCCTTCCAGGCGCCTAGCCGCAAGCCGGACGACTTGTCGCGGTTAATCTTGGCCCCTGTCACCTTTTCGTACCGATCAAGCGCCTTCTGCACCGCTCTGATGCCTCTGCGGGACGACACGAAAGCAGTTACGTCATCGGCGTACGCGGAAACCCGGGCTCGAGCCCCGCCGGGAACGACGATTCCGCGTAGGGCCGGCCTGCACGCCCCGTCCCTCAGCCGGCGAAGGAGAGGCTCCAACGCCAAAGCGTAAAGTAGGGGCGACAGCGGGCAACCCTGACGGACCGACCTAGACAGCGCGAAAGCGCCCGACAGCTTCCCGTTCACCTGTACCACAGCGCTGGGGGAGCGATACAGGAGGCTAATCCAGCGGCAGAAGTCGGGTTCGAATCCGGCGGCCTGCAGGACAGCAGCGAGGTAGCGATGGTCGACCCTATCAAATGCCTTGGACTGATCCAAATTGATCAGCGCGGCTTTCTCGTCGTCTTTACGCCCTCTATGATCGTGCGGATCAAGTGCAGGTTGCTCTGAATTGTTCGACCCCTCACAGCACAGGTCTGCTCGGGACCCAACAGAGACTCGGCAACTGACTGCAAGCGCTCCTGCAGGATCTTGGCCATAATCTTTAACTCTGTGTTCAGCAGAGTTATGGGCCTGTAGTCGTCTAGTTTCCCCCCGACACCCTTGCCCTTTTTCAACAGCGTGATCACGCC